TAATACAAAAGTGGCGTCAATTTCCAAAACATCAAGGTGTCGATTTTCGACTTTATAGTAGAATTGATATTGATTAATGTCATATTTCCTTTGCTAATTTGACATTGGTTAATTTTATATTTTCATTGCTAATATGACAGAATGAAGTCAAAAATGTCATGTCAAATATGTCATAGTTGTACCTAGGAACAATTCTTTAGTCGATAATTTACTCCCCTGGGTATATCACAGTGACAGTGACCAGCGTGTATCGTTAGAAATAGTTTTAAAATATAGTCGTCAACGATAAGTACACCTTTCGTATTTAATAAGTATATTTCCAACAATTACGTACTAATATGGGATATCCGGCATACAGAGAGGTAAAAATAGATAAATACCTACAAAGATTCGTAAAAAAAAATATTTTTTTGGTTTTAGTCCGATTTACTTTAGAGTAAAGTATCTGCGATAGATTTGTGAGAATTTTCATTACTAATGAGCGACGGAATTATTTTGAACTCGCAATTATCAAAACTTGTTTAATACCTATTAAGTAAATTACTATAGATTTGTTCTATTCTCCTCAACTATCCTAGAGTTCATCGACTATCCTAAAGTTGCGTTTCTTGATTTAATGGATATAGTATACCTAGTTAGGTATCCATTACATGAATTACCTAATATGTTTGGTTTGTCAAAAAGGAAACACAAAATATTATATTTTATATCAACTATACTATAATTATTATAAAAAAAAATTATAAATTAATTTTGACAACACCGCATTTGATAATATCACAAGTTAACTTATAAATCAAGGTTTTTATTAAATACGTAATGGCCCGTTTATATATAAGAACTATTTCATGCATATTTAACAAATAAGTAAGATTCGCAATGATTTTGGGTGACTCAAACTTCTAATTTCCATTTTTATTAATGACCTATTTATCATTTATTGAAAATGGCCTACCATCACTATACTTAATAAGTTAAAGGACATTTGTTTTGGTCAACGAAAAACAAAACTGCCAATATATGACCATTATAATTCTAATTGGATTTTAACAGGCATATTTTTATTAAGTTTTATTTACGCATGCGCGCCTTAAGCAGTGAAAGCTAAATCTTGACCAAACAGGAGCTTCTCATTATCGCACTAAATGCTAATATTAGCCATAAAATCGACAATAATGCTAATGCTTTTAAGCACCAGAAACGCATAAAGTGCCAATTCTGGCGACCGTGGCTTAATAGCATAAAATCTAATAAGCCACAAATTATTCTTGCGTGCCAAATCACGCGCTCCCTTTTGGCCACGGTTACGTAATGATGACTACTTCTAGAAGACTTGGTGTCCAGATTTAAATGCTTATTAGCTTTGCTATTAGCACCGAAATCCACTTGCAAGCTTCTTTATGGCTTCTTGTGTTACTTGGGGTGTGTTTGTCCAAATTAAAGTTTTACCTTCCTCCACCACTTTATTTCACAACTGACAAAAATTACACCTGCAGCTTTTTTGTTCAAAAAATATTGAAGATTAAAATAGTAATATTTATCAATATACTTTACTCAATATTTTTTTGAGAAAATCACATTTTTATATTTTGATGTCACAATTGAACCCCCCCCCCCTAGCGGCAATCCTACAAACTTGGAAATAATTTCCAGCAATTTCTCCAAAGCTATACTATTAAAGGTATTTTTCGCAGCATAAACCAACATAAACGTTTAAGGTAGATTATGTTATTTAGGCATGATCTTCCATTTTGGCCTACATCAAGGACCGGAGGGGAAGTTGTAATGACGTCACTGTTTAGCATACCCGAACATGATCTCATCCACAGGCGGTTATGTTAATTCATGTGTTTGACGAATGACTACAGACGGTATACAAAGATGGCTTTAATTTTAAAATTTAAATTAAATAAGATTGAAATTGAAGTAGAGGAAAGTGACGAAATTATTCAACAATTAAAATATAGTAAATATAAATAGATTAATTAAAATAGCACAAGTACAATTTGTTGTAATTTTTAGACAATATATTTAGGTACATTAAATATTAATATAAAATAATTAAACTGTTTTTAGGTACTCTTAGCAAAAATCGCGTGGTTTACACACACATGAGTAATTGAAATAATAAAAAATTGTTACTTCAACTAACTGCCCACTTTGAAAATAGCATGGATTTTTCATTTTCGCGCCAACATATACTATATGTGGTGGGGGGATAGACGAACATGATCGAACAACATAATCCGTTTATGTCGCGAAATATACCTTTTAGTTTCTGAAATATATCATCTCTAGATACCATCTTTCTTAGGTGAGTTCGGTCTACGCACTCTTTTAAATATATTCACTCCTAAAGCACCTAAGGCGTTCGGGTACGGAAGGAGTTAAAATAAAAGTTCCTCTTTGACCACAAAGCACATAGAGGTTCCACGTGAATGACCAAGGTCAAAACCGACAACTGACATTTTTTATGCTATTTGCTCCAAACTCTAGATGGGGCTACTGGTGAAATTATGATTTCTTACTCCATTTTTAAGCCTTATGGGAGAAAAACTTAACCAAAGACTCCAAAGATGTGACGTGTATTTATTTATGTTCTTGGTTAGTTTCATTTTTCCGTCTGATTTTAGTGATTTTTTGTTGCTTTGGCTTTTGGTTTCTGTTTATAGTTTCGTCTTAGTTATTTGCAAAATTGTGATGTTTCGCTTTTTTATTTCCTACTGTGTTTTGCAATAATTTTGGTGCTACGTTGAAAACTTCGAGAAAAACTTCATTGATTCACCATGCATCTGCATCATAAAAAGACAAACGGGGACAACTAATTGATAATCAATTTATCACTGGACTAGATTCCGAAATCATTTTTCACATAAGAGAGTAATACCACCATCTGTATTTGGAAGGAAAATACCTATTTATCATTGAATGAATAGTTAAAAGTATTCACCTTTTAATACAATACCTATATTACATTTGTCCTCAGTTAAAAAGACATTTATAAAATATATAACTTTAGTGTTAATAAAATGTAATATCCTAGTCTCTACTTCACATTTAAATTATTGATAGGTATTTTAAAGATTTGAGATTATATATCTATTTGCTCCAAGTAAGTATTCGTTAAATATGTATTATTATTTGTATTTATTTTTATCTAATAATATTTATTTAAGTTATTAATAAACATATTTTAAGAATGTTCTATTTTATTATTTATTGATATATCTTATATTTATTTAATAAAAATATGCAGAACCAACTCTCCACATTAGACCCCTTATAACAAATTAATTCTTCAAATTTGGTATAATCGACCTAAATTATTTTGTAAAATAAAAGTTTCGAACTTACTAGTTCCATACTTTATTTTATAAAATAATTTATGTGGAAATCATTTAAAATTTAATTTAAAACTACTACCTACTCCTAAAAATTACAATTTGAATTTACCGCCATCTGTCAATTGTCATTTTAGTTCCAGCTCCAAACACAAGGTGTCGCTAATTTGGTTTAAAAGTTTAACATTGGCGTGGGGTCTCTAGAAGATACATGCTTTGTGTCTTTGACCGTTCGGAGATCGTGGATCGGGCATGCGCATAAGGTGATTTAAATCGATAATAAGATAATTGTGACTAATTCTTAAGTAAAAATGCTTCTTATTTGATTCCCGTGCATACCATTAATATGGAAGAAACTTATACGATTGTTACTGATAAGTACGATTATGTTTTAAGTATTAGGCATTCCAACGACCTGTCAAACAATAGGTGCCAGTGGGAAATTCTTGTATATCTAAGGGGGTAGCGACATAGTCTTGCAACTTGGACGCTATTTTTATTTAAAGTAGTAGTCGCCAAGCCTACCAATTTATGAAGAAATGTATAGGTGGGTTTTTTAAATATTGGCCGCATTCAGCAGAAGCAACCGATTATCAAACGATAACTTAGCGATGACTTATCGATTAGTGAATCTCCTGAATTAACTTTTCAGGCACTTCGACAGGCGACATAAAAGTGACATGTACTTCAGAAAAAAGTCATCATCTAAAACATAGGAACAAAATTTAGAATAAAACGCCAAATAAATTACTCTACTACATAATTATAAATTAATGTATTTGCCTGATTTTAATGCATTGTGCAACACTTCATTACCAACTACAATATATTTCATATTGTTATAAACATATATCACTTCAAAGTCCTTCATTTCAGTAAAAAATGACAAGTTCAATGTAAAAATGAATTCAAAATAAACATAAAATAAGGTTATGAGTTATGAGCATCACCACAAAACATTCACTTCAGTTGGTATGACTTCTAAATCTAATCACGATGTGATAACTAATCGTATTTCAAATTCGATGTTTTAAATGGCGGCCGATAACTCATCATTTGATTACTAATCGCTCTTTTATATATCATTCAGCAGAAAATCATAAATCGATTGCTTCTGCTGAATGCGGCCATTATTTTTATTGTGTTTGACATAAAATATTTAAATGTAATCCATTATTCATGATTTTACGTAAAGTAGATAGAATACACCATATGTCGCCACCCTTAGATATACCAAACCTGCCCACTGGTAATTCATTTGTTTGGAATGCCTAATTAGTATGTCACATTGACAACTGACATTGAACTCAGAGTAAAAGGAGTAAAACCATATGCGCACTCCGTTTACGCCTGGAGTGCGCAGGCCGAACTCACCTCTTATATACACAGAGCGGAAGAAAGTCTTCTCGAAAATGAGTTATCAGAAATCTACAAAATTTGTGACTTGTTGGTTAAACATTTTTTTTGAAGATTTTTTGTAACATTTTTTGAACATTTTTGAAAATTTATTGAACATTTCATAGTTGAGTAAAAATACTCGAAAATTGGGTAAAAATCCTCTTATAAATAGGAGTTTAAACTCTCATAACAAAACTGTCATATATCGTGGTAAGGGCAGAAGGAAAAATCAGCAAAATATTTAAAAAATAAAGTAGGTACCTATGCTGCGATCAAACTGGCCGAATAGATTTACTTCGGTTTCGACAAGTTCGTTCGAAAATTTAAGCGGCGATTCTGGGCCTTTAACTTTTTTATCTTTTACAACATTGCTCTTTTTGTCACACAGTTCCTTATATAAATCCTCAAATTCATTACGTTTAAGAACTCCTTCTATTTCAAACAACTTCTCGATGGTGACGTTGAGCGGTCCTTCGCTAGTATTTTCAAGCTAAAAAGATAGATAACCCTAATTTGTTGATGTATAGGCAGTGGCGGCTCCGTAACAAAATTTTGGGGGTTCACAGTGACAGAATATAGACATCATTACAGATGGATGAAAAAACTGTGTTTTAGAAAGTTTACAATATACCTTTCTAAAACACTGACAATTTTTAACCTACATCTGTACCGAGATCTATATTCTGCTACTGTGAACCCCCAAAATTATGGCCACAAGCCGCCCCTGTGTATAGGTATAATTAATACTTGCCTTAATGGAGCACTCATCGCAATATTTTATAGTAGCTTCGGTAAGCCGACATACTGTAAATTCAGGAGTAAACAATAATCCACAAGGGATTCCAGCACCTTTAATTATCAGCGGTACCACGGTGCTTCCAGAACTTATTTCTAGATATTCTTCGATCTGTAAATATAAAAAATGACAGATATTAGTGACAAGAAAATAAGGTTGAACTATCCTCGCCAAGAACTCTCCTTGAAGTCATATAAACGTCAAAACAAATTTAAAATGACAGTTAGCTTTGATATTTTTTAACATATTTAAATAATTATACGCCTGGTAAACTTTTAATCAAATGAAAATATCATGCCCACCGACAAAAGTAAATATAGGAATTACGCCCCTTTCGGCTTCCGAGACATACGAGAAACCAGATTCGGTATACATCCAGCATTAGATCAATCAGGCTCAAACAGAACTCAAGTTACCGGTGCCGGTCCGGGACATTATAATCCCCAAAAACCGGTATGCAAGTACAAAAATGGAATCGAGTAAGTTTTCCACGGTTTCAGTAAGGATATCACAATAACTTTAATCGTAAGGAATCTAATAAAACTTAACTAAATAGGTTCTTTCGTTCGCTGTTGGTGTAGTTTCCACCAGTGTAGTTTACACCAGTTACACCAATGTATTTACCCTAATGTACTTCCTCCTTATTCCTTATACACATGTCGAGTGTAATTCACTCCTGCTAAATAGCTGGTGGAGAAAATATCCACCAGTGTACACCATATCGCCGACAGGAAGGTATAGTGGGTTTTACAACGGGCCAAACGAAAGGTTTAGTGTAAGTTGGTGTAGTTCATTCCTACACCAGTGGGACGAACGAAAGAACCTAATATACAGGACTATTCTAGAATAGTAAATAGTACCTGCACAAGGGGAAAAATGGACTGGGGTTCGGCTCTTTGGGCTAAAAGGTCCGTATTTATAAACACATCTCAGCTGAGTCAGACTCACAAAGCACGTATATGTGCTTTGTGGTCAGACTTGGCTGAGATGTCCTTGAACGAAAATCGAAGTTTGGTTATAACTTTTCCATAGTTCCAGGTGGTTCCGGTGTTTCACTGGGATTTAGAGATGGACACTAGCAAATCCGTAATTGTTAAGTACATTTACGGATGTGTTACTACCCATCTCTAAATGCACGCGATCTAATCCATTTTCATTTAAGGACGACTCAGCCAAGTCCGACTCAGCTCAGGGGGGCTATTTTCAAAGTATGGGAGCACTCATTTGCTCTCAAGATTCTCGTCAGAAATGTCATATGTCAATGTGGAAACGCTGTTTTTAAAAGGCCTCGAGGATTAAAATTCTTAGAAGAATTTTAATTATCTCTAAATAAAGCGAAAGAAACAGTCAGTGATTTCATACTGGCCCTAAGAGGCCTAAAAATACTGTTTTACGTTGACGTATGACATTTCTCTTGAGCTAAATGAATTCTCTCGAGTTTGAAAATGGCTCCCCAGATCTGGTTATACATACGGACCTAAGACAATTCGGGTCGACATATTGAAACCTAGCTTGGTATATGAATGCATTTTCCCCAACCGAAAAATTGTACTAATAATAGGCATTTCAACGTCATAAAAATCCGTTATGGTTGCCTGATGGCACAAAAACTTTTGTTTACTCTTATTTGTCGAAGTAGTTTTTTGTTCATTATCTATATATATAAAATTGTTTGTCCTGACTGACTGACTGACTGACCTATCAGCGTACAGCCGAAACCACTAGGCATAGAAAGCTGAAATTTGGAACATAGGTTTATTTTATAACGTAAGCATTCGCTAAGAAAGGATTTTTGGAAATTTTAACTTTAAAGGGGGGAAATGGGAGGAAATGGGGGGAGGCAGCTTTTAATGAAACTCTTTGTTCTTTAAGGTTAGAAACATGAACATTTAAATTACAGCTGCTGAGCAAAAAGAAATAATGAATTTTAAGGAGGGGGGGGGACGGGAAGGGGGGACGGGAAGGGGGGACGGGAAGGGGGGACGGGAAGGGGGGACGGGAAGGGGGGACGGGGGGGGGGGGTGAAAGTTTTTAAGGGACTATCGATTTTTTTGTTCTCTATGAAGTTAGAAACATAAAAATTGGAATCGCAGCTACTGACTGCAAATTATTAATGACGTATTTCAGGGTTTTGAATTTTCACATTTTAAGGCGGGAAATGGGGGGTGAAAATTTATTTGGGAGTATCCATGTTTTTTGTTCTCTTTAAAGTTAGAAACATGAAAATTGGAATTGCAGCTAATAAGTACAAATTAATAATAACGTGTTTCATGGTTTTCGGATTTTCACATTTTAAGGGGGGAAATGGAAGTGAAAATTAATAAAAATTAATAAAAAATTAATAAAAATTATTAAAAATTAATAAAAATTAATAAAATTAATAAAAATTAATAAAAATTAATAAAAATTAATAAAAATTAATAAAAATTAATAAAAATTAATAAAAATTAATAAAAATTAATAAAAATTAATAAAAATTAATAAAAATTAATAAAAATTAATAAAAATTAATAAAAATTAATAAAAATTAATAAAAATTAATAAAAATTAATAAAAATTAATAAAAATTAATAAAAATTAATAAAAATTAATAAAAATTAATAAAAATTAATAAAAATTAATAAAAATTAATAAAAATTAATAAAAATTAATAAAAATTAATAAAAATTAATAAAAATTAATAAAAATTAATAAAAATTAATAAAAATTAATAAAAATTAATAAAAATTAATAAAAATTAATAAAAATTAATAAAAATTAATAAAAATTAATAAAAATTAATAAAAATTAATAAAAATTAATAAAAATTAATAAAAATTAATAAAAATTAATAAAAATTAATAAAAATTAATAAAAATTAATAAAAATTAATAAAAATTAATAAAAATTAATAAAAATCAATAAAAATTCATTAAGATTAATTAAAATTATTAAAAATTAATAAAAATTAATAAAAATTATTAAAAATTAATAAAAATTAATAAAAAGTAATAAAAATTAATAAAAATTATTAAAAATTAATAAAAATTAATAAAAATTAATAAAAATTAATAAAAATTAATAAAAATTAATAAAAATTAATAAAAATTAATAAAAATTAATAAAAATTAATAAAAATTAATAAAAATTAATAAAAATTAATAAAAATTAATAAAAATTAATAAAAATTAATAAAAATTAATAAAAATTAATAAAAATTAATAAAAATTAATAAAAATTAATAAAAATTAATAAAAATTAATAAAAATTAATAAAAATTAATAAAAATTAATAAAAATTAATAAAAATTAATAAAAATTAATAAAAATTAATAAAAATTAATAAAAATTAATAAAAATTAATAAAAATTATTAAAAATTTTTATTAAATTTTATTAAATTTTTATTAATAAAAATTAATAAAAAAAAAAAAATTAATACCCCAGAAAATATTGTCGCAAACATGATAAGGAACGAAAAAAATTGGTGTGCAGTTAATAGGTTCGTTACCGATATCATGTGCAAAAAAGAAGAAGATGAAAGAAATTTTCAAATAAGAGAAAATATGAACAATATTTAGTCAGCGCCAGTCACTGAAGACGATATCAACCCAGATGGTTCCGGTGACTTGGTGTGTAGAGAGGGTGAGTGTTTAGTGGGTAGGGGTTCGAGACCGAGTCCCACACAAATGTGCTGGTCATACAGACGGCGTGCGTAAAAGCATTTCAACACCCTCAAAAAAAAAAAAAAAAAAAAAATTAATAAATATTTAAAAATTAATAAAAATTATTAAAAATTAATAAAAATTAATAAAAATTAATAAAAAAATAAAAATTAATAAAAATTAATAAAAATTAATAAAAATTAATAAAAATTAATAAAAATTAATAAAAATTAATAAAAATTAATAAAAATTAATAAAAATTAATAAAAATTAATAAAAATTAATAAAAATTAATAAAAATAATTAAAAATTAATAAAAATTAATAAAAATTAATAAAAATTAATAAAAATTAATAAAAATTAATAAAAATTAATAAAAATTAATAAAAATTAATAAAAATTAATAAAAATTAATAAAAATTAATAAAAATTAATAAAAATTAATAAAAATTAATAAAAATTAATAAAAATTAATAAAAATTAATAAAAATTAATAAAAATTAATAAAAATTAATAAAAATTAATAAAAATTAATAAAAATTAATAAAAATTATTAAAAATTAATAAAAATAAAAATTAATAAAAATTAATAATTTTTTTTCAAAATTAATACATATGAGTGAAAATTAAAAAAATGAATAAATATGAATAAATATAAAAAAATGAAAAAACGATAGAAAATCAATAAAGTCATGTATTTTTTTATATTAATAACACGACTATATGCGAGCAAAGTTGCGAGTTAGCTTATATAACGAAAACTTTTGTCCTTTTGACGGTGGATTTAGAACAAAAACATCGTTTAGTGTGTGATTTTAATATCAGTTTTATCTTTAGTATTTTATTGTCGCCGCTCATTAGAAGACAATGGAAATATAGCACTATATGTAACAAGGATAAAAAGGTATGAAATATGAAGAAAATACATTTGGTATCCGACTGATTTATGTTTAGTATGTTTTAGTGTTTCCAACATGCCGGTGACTTCTTGCATGATTGTAAATTGTTGCAGCAACAACTAATTCTACATGCAACCCATTTTTAAACGGTTTATCAGTTCAAATAAGACAACGGGATAGCAAAACCAAATATGAAAATGTTGCAAGCACTTTTTTAACATGTATAGTGAATTAAACTATTTTTTTCGTCTTATTTATTAATAATTGTGTGTATTTTAGGTTAGCAAACTTCTGTGCAGTTTGTAATATGGACAAGAAACAAGAAATATTGCTAATCTGAATTTATGTATAGCGAATAATTATAGGAAAAAATTTAAATGTTAATTATAATGATAAGATGTAAATAATATAAATATATGGAACAAAATAGTAATTTTGTGCTGTGTATCATTTTCCTACCAATATAGTGTCATTATGAATTGATAGAAAAAAAATTAATTTTAATTGATAATTGGGTAGGTATGGCTACCCTATTTGTTTAAAAATTTTAGGAATATGTTGTTTTTTTTTCTTTTTAATAGATTCTTAGCTATAAATAAAAGTCAATCATACGATTTTAAAGGAAATATGAAAATCGATTATTTTCGATAATGCAGTTATTTTCTTAGAAAACTGGATTTGTCGGTCAATCCCTATTTTAAGTTATCAATTATTTTCGATTGAGCGAATATTTTAGATTTTTCAAAGATAATCGAATAATCGATATTAAAGGAAATACGAAAAGAAAATAGATTACTTGTAAATAATCGGATTTTTAATTAATCGATTAATTAGTTATTTTCGAATTTCAAAGATAATGGAATATTCAATTTTAAATTAAATACGAAAAAATAGATTATTTGAAAATACTCGATTGCTCGAAAATATTTGATTATTTAAAATAACTGATTATTCGGTTTTTTTGGCATTATCTTACATCGGTTAATCGGACGTTTAATTAATCGATTATTTTCGATTTTTTGAAGATAATCAAATAATCGATTTTAAAGGAAATACGCAAAAATTAGATTATTTGATAACAATCGATTGATCGAAAATAATCGATTATTTATCGATTTTAAAGGAAATACGCAAAACATTAAATTATTTGATAACAATCGATTGATCGAAAATAATCGATTATTTGAAATATTCGATATTTCCATTATTTTTTTTAGAAAAATTGTTAATTAATCGATTATTTTCGAGGCAATACCATCCTCTATATTTAGTATTCCTAAATAAAAAGCTTTAATATACTGTTTTTTTTTTATTAAAATATAAAAAAGCATTTTCTCATTTTGTTTGATATTGACATTAAAAAATTAGGTTAATTTTATTTCATAATACAACATTCCATTAAACGTCTTTTAAGTAAATTAATAGTTTATTATGGTGCTAATAAACTAAGTGCGCCTCTGCTACAGAGTTCGGGTCTCCTCCCAATTCTCCCTATCCGTTAACCTTTTTTTAGAAATTGGCAACATTCGCGCAGGTTAAACACCGGTGTATTTTACATCTGTGGTCTCTTTAATCTAAGATTCATTATTAGGTACCCCACTCTTGTTGCTTTCAAGATTGCACACGGCGTATTAGTGGTGACGTACTTTTTGCGCAAGTACAAAACAAAATTGAGTTCAGTTACTTAGTTTGTTTATGGAATAAATAGTTTTTCAAAGTTTTACGTTATTTTAATATAATCGTGGAATTCTAAAACCGTATAAAATACTATCCTTTGAAATAAACTTTCCATAAAATTTTTAAATCTGGCTACATTCTTAACTACATTTTGTTATTGTCTACAAATAATAAACAACTCAAAACGTATGTATTATGTCAAAATTAATAGCAGAATTGTTTGACCAGTGACGTCATACTAATACGGCGTATTCCCGTTAGATGTTTTTGCGATATCTTCGGTTTAATTAGGATTTTAGCATTTTAAACCACACTACTGATTAGTATACTGTCATCAGGGCTATTTTCAAAGTGTTGATTTTATTTTGCTACAGTTTTTCTATTATTTTTGGTCTTTTAACAAATCCTCTCTGGGTTGTTTTGTCTATATTTTCCTACCTGTCTTGCTCTTTTTGCTTTCCTTTTTATATTCCCCTTATATTTGTTTAACTAAGTAAATATACTAATTAATATTTCCAAGTTTTCTTCCAGAAATTCTTAATATTTTCCTTTTATCATATTTCTAGTTTTCGTGTTATCTTGTTCGTTGTCAAAGTTTTATATTTATTCGTAGGTTACTGTAAGACTTATTTTTGTTTGCCTTATTTTCTCTTCGGACCGTAATTATTAGATACAATTTGTGAATTTCAGTTGGGAGCGCAAGTTGAAAGTCGAAGAATTCTCCAAATGGATGGGTTGGAAAAATCTCTCGATTCTGGAGAGCAGGCGCTTTTTTCAAAGCTTAAATGGTCCTGGAACGCACGATATCAACCCAGATCTGTTTAAGCAAAAGCATTGTACCACTTTCGAAGATATACATTTTACGTTAGGCAAACGTTACAGCTATATCAACCCGCCTAACACACCTTCGCCAGGTACTTATTAAAAATCGGGGCATAACTGGCGCAATCAGTGGGATTATTTGAGTTAATCACGTGTTTTAGATAGATACTTCTCAGATTTAAACAAGATATCTTCAATAAGGGAAAGCGTGTCCAAAGTACCTACGTTTGAATGGGATGGATTCGTAAGTAGATTTAGAGCTGGTGCAGCTAAGAATTATTGGTTACCCTCGAATTTGTATGATATTACAAAGGTTGACGGAAAAAGTAAGTCAATATAATATTTGTCACTGGTAATTTATCTGTGACAGATACTTTTATCAATGTCTTTTTTTTGTTAACAATTTGCAATCTGCTATTTTTTTTTAACCACCCTGTGCTATCTTTGAAAATATGGTATTGTATTCAGTTTAACCTGTTTACTATTTACTTGTATTCGGGGAGAAAAGTGGAACTAATTAGCAAAAAAACTCCGGGTCCGTATTTAAAAAAATTAAGTTGAATTTTTATTAAACATTTCATATTGGAAATGACAAGGTATCCAAATTGACAATGATTCGAATTAGAAATAGATTTAAATGTTAAGTTAACTGATATTTGTAGACACCGCAGACATTTCGAAGAAATTAGTCTCTGTACGAGGGCCGTACGATTTGTTTACCGGCAAAAGAGACGATTCAAATCTTAAAGGTTTCTATCATCCACGAATTTTCAAAATGCCTGAATGGTTTTACATGCCACCCAGTATGGCCGAGATGATATTGAAGAGTCCCAACCATTCCAGGTAATACATTTAGCTTCGTTCGCGGTAACAATCCTGAACTGATTCAGAATTACTAATTCATACTTTGAGCGCATGCCTGATTCATTATCAATTCTGAATTATTACCGCGCGCGCAATCCCTATTATATCTCGGTGTTTCAGGTATAGACAAGCGGTTCAAATCCAATAATAATTTTACCGCGAACGCAGGATAGAACCAATAGTTCAGTTCTTTTTGTTCCGCAAACGCTTTTTAACTACTGCGCCTGCGAAATCGTTATTATTAGTAATAATTCGGTTCAGGATTCTTAGCGCGAATTAAGTTCTTATATATAGGGTGTGTCAATAATAATGGAATATGGAGTAACTGGAGATAATTTGACTCAAAATGTGACGTTTGAACACATAAAACTGTAGAAAAAATGTCAAAGGTACCAGTACCATTCCGTTTCAGGGCCCGCTCCAAGGCCGGACAACCCGGACATTTGTCCGGGGCGGCATTTTCACTGTCAGAATGTGACAAAATATTATAAATATTAATATAATAAATAGCATGCCACCTTTCATTTGTAAAAACATTTCTTATCACTGTTTTTACAAGAATGTTAAAATACTTGTTCTTCATCTATATAGTTGTAAAGAAAATAGGTAATTACGAAAAAATAATTACTCAATAATAATTATTAAATAAGGAACACGGGTGTTATTTACACTAGGTACCTAATATAACCGCGCATCGATATATACCATATAAATCAGCAAGTAGGATGCCGCATGAACTTGTCTCGACGTGTTTCGACGCGGCAGTTTCGGCACGAGGACATTTAGACGCCTGCCGATTAGAGGCCAGGACGTTTCGACGGCAAATGTAAATTTTTTAAAGTAGGTTATACATTATTCAAAAAACAAATATTTGAAATGTATAGCTGTAGTAAATATGTAACCATTAGCTGGCTTATATTTTAATTTTTAAGAAAGGCATAAACAATTAATTCCTAAGAAGAATTTTAATGAATTACCTAAATGTTATTATTGATACATAATGTTATATTAAGTACCTGATCCTGGTAAATCTCCTGCCCAACAAACAGCAAACTACATATACCCGAATATTGGTATGGTGAGATATTTACAGCCAGCTGCAAATCGGGAGAAGATTTCATGTGATTTTGAACTGGGTGCCATACGAAATTTCTAAAAATCATATTCAGTCCCAAAAATCTTTTCTAGAACTGAACCTAAGATTAAAGTGTTGTAAAACTATAGATGCGGATTCCCAAAGACTTATTAACGCTGAAATTAACCATTGGCAAGAAGTACTTTTAAGAATCGTAGCAATCACTAAAATGCTTGGTAAAAATTGTCTGGTTTTCCAAGGTACAAACGACAAGCTATTTGAGCATAATAACGGTAACTTATTAAAAATAGTTGAGCTGCTATCTGAATTTGATTCCATCATGGAAGAACACGTACGTAGGGTGCTTAAAAAAGAAGAAACGAAAGCTCACTATCTTGGGAAAAATATTCAAAACGAGATAATAGACCTGTTGCATCAAAGTGTAAAATCTTATATTTTATTAATGAAATAAAAAAAGGCAAATATTATTCGATAATTTTAGATTGCACTTCTGATATTTCTAAGGTGGAGCAAATGACTCTTGTAATCAGGTATGTTTCAATCAATAAAACTGATTCCAATCAGGATGAGGTTGAAATTAAAAATAATGAAAGCTTTTGGGTTTTCTTCCAGTTGAAAGGTCTACAAATGTTTGAAATTATAATTGCAGAACTTAATAATTTGGGTTTAAATTTACAGGACATAAGAGGGCAGGGATATGACAACAAGCTTTCTACGTTCCATGCAGTAGTCACTCTCTCAATCTAGTAGTTAACGATATGGTAAAAGCATCTTTGGTAGGCGCTAATTTCTTTAATATGCATCTACATTTTGCTGGGCAATTCTTCTAAAACATGTCCAGGGTTTGACTTTAAAACCACTAAGTGTTACTAGATGGGAGAGTAGGATAGAGGCTTTAAAGCCTTGTAAGATTTTATATTGGAGGCGTATACGACGCCTTGCTAAGCATTAATGAGAATGAAGAAATTAATAATTTAATAAGGGACGAAGCCTCGGGTTTATTAAGTTATATAAAACAATTTAAATTTTTGTGTTCAATAGTTCTTTGGTATAAAATTTTAAACGGTATTAATCCAATAAGCAAATTGTTGCAAACAAAAGATTATGATTTAGTATCTGCACTTGATCTTTTGCAAAAGTGCAGAAACTGTTTTCATGATCTTCGATCGGATAAATCTTTTATTGCAATTATTGTTGATGCGAGAGAACTGGCTGACGAAATTGACGCCAATTTTAAATCAACAATACCACGACACCGCGTAAAAAAAAGGAATTTCTCATACGAAGCACGAGATGAACCAATCGAGAATCCTAATGAAAATTATAAGGTAGATGTTTTTACTTTCCTATCTGTATACAGATATAAGGAAAGTATAGGAATCATGATTTTTTTCGACCTCGAGTTTTCGACGGATTTTTACGTTTTGAGGTCCCCTGAATCCGTTTTGACTATTTTCGCGATGATGTCTGTGTGTGTGTGTGTGTGTGTGTGTGTGTGTGTGTGTGTGTGTGTGTGTGTGTGTGTGTGTGTCTGTGTGTGTCTGTAGGTCGCATAACTCATGAACCGATACACAGAAAAACACCAAATTTTAAACTTAAGCTTTGTTTCAGCGTCCAATGAGCTGATTAGATTTTGGGTAGAGTCGGAACATCTGGGGGGGTACTTTATAGGTGGTCATTTTTATATTTTATGGAATATATCTGTTATTTACGTTTGGAGAAGCAAATTCTTCAAATAAAAGTTACTTCTTATATAATTATCTATAATTTTTGTTTTATGCAAAATTTTCCTAAAATGGTCCGTATTCGAGAAATTTGACAAAATGTAAAAAAATAATTTTTTATAAAAATTGTTCAAATAAAAGTTGTTTGTAATTTAATTCTCTATAATTTTTATCCTATAAATAATTTCTCTAAAATGGACCGTATTCGAGATATTTGAGAAAATGTGTAAATTTCGAATTTTGAAGAAAACTCAAAAACGGATAAAGGAAAAAACATTAAATTTTAAACTTAGGTTTTATTTCGACCTGAGGTGAACTGATTAGATTTTGGACAGAGTCGGAACATTTGGGGGGGTACTTTATTGGTGGTCATTTTTATATTTTATGGAATATATTCGTTATTTACGTTTGGGGAAGAAAATTCTTTAAATAAAAGTTACTTACAATATTCTTATCTATAATTTTTGTTTTATGTCAAATTTTCCTGAAATGGTCCGTATTCGAGAAATTTGACAAAATGTGCAAAATTCTGATTTTTAGAAAATTGTTAATCTAAAAGTTGTTTGCGATATCGATCTCTATAATTTTTGTTTTTAAATGACTTTTCTAAAATGGACCGTAATGGAAAAATTGGAGGAAAAGTGCTAAATTAAAATTTTTCAGTATTTTCGTTTTCAATGAATATCTATAGAAAAATGTTTCGAGGTAGATGTATGTGGAAAATGTATATATTTAGTTTATCCTCTAAACATTTTTAGAGATGCTGCAATAGGTTAACTAGATAGGAAAGTCATGTATTGGACACATCAGATTTTTTATTTTACAATTGACCAGGCACTAAATGCTATAGATACTAGATTTAAACAACTTAGTTATCATAGTAATTATTTTCAATTTTTATATAATATATATGATTTAAAGGGAATGTCTAAAGAAAATCTTTTAAAACATTGCAACGATCTAGAAAGTTTCTTAACTTTGTTGTTATTAATGGGGTAGAATTACCAGAAGAAATTTGTGCGGTAAAGCTGCAGTTAGAGCCAATGGCTGGGCCGAGAAACAGATAGCGGCTTTATTGATAGTATCGCTGCGAGGACAGAAACCGTTTAAGTTATTTACCCAAGAGGAACCCAGTTATTCGTCTCTCGTATAAGCTTTGGAGATAATATATGGCCAGCAGTATTTGAAACAGGGATTCCTTAGCCAGCTAAAGGTTCATAGTCAGAAATATAATGAAAGTCTACAGGAATTCGAGGCCAATATAAATATTGCTGCATGTGGCTTATCCACAAGCGCCCAAAGATTTCCTAGAGCAAATCGGCATACAGACATTCATTGATGGATACAATATAGGGAAATGCAACTAGCTCTTCAGCTACAACACCACAAGATGCTGAGACACTGATTGTAGCCCGGGAATATGAAGCAGCAAAAATCATATCTCGACCTTTTTCCGAAAAATTTAGAAATTAGATTCCAGAAAACTAAAGAGGCCACTATTAATACTATCCGCTAACCTACTCTCACAAATCTTAAATATCCTGCAAAATGTGCAACGAAATAGCCAAAATGAGAGATGAAAATGCTTCAATTGTAGAAGAATCGGACACCTTCAAAGAACCCCTGTAGAAGCAGGGCTCGTTCTATGAATTGAGAATCGGGAAATGAGACCAGAAATTCACCTAGATCAACCTCCTGAAGCATGTCACGAACTCCAACAGGAAATAATTACAGCATATGTGCCTTCCGGAAAAGCCCACACATACCTAGCAAGAATCAGGGAAACGAGAAGGTCGACATTACAGGACAGGCGTCGGCTGTAACAGAGGATTCCAAAATTCGAACTTACACCTAAAATAAAAACGAACAAAATTTATTGGTTAAGGGGCATATCGACAATCATTGGTACTAGTATTTTATTCGAACAGAGTCCCTGCATCGAACACTACGATCAATTCGAAGAAGCCATAGTTCTGGAAACAGCTACAGGGCACAACACTCCTATTCTAGCCGAGATATTAGCAAGCAAACAGATTGGTAATACCCTGATAGAACACTTATTTTTAGTGGCCGATTTTAAGGATCAGTGTGTCCTTGGTATGGACATTATGCAAAATAAGTTTATCATTGATCTTCAAAATAAGAATTTGGTGATTAGG